AATATGAGATTGGTTATATTTAGATGTTGATGTTCATGGTCTTTGAGCTGGAATACCAGGACAATATGCAACTGCCTAACAGAAAAGACCCAGACAAAATTCAATTATAAATGTTCTACTGTAAGGTCACAGTGCCACATGAAAACATGCTGTTCATTTGCTCTTGGCAATATTGTATAATGCACACAAACATTTGAATGTTATGTAAAGTTCCCTGCTTTGTCATTGGCTAATACTAAACAACCTGGGACCAGATCTTTGACATGACCCTTTATATGAACACACATCTCTGTAAAGATGTTGCACAGAAACCGTTCTGTATCTCATGAAAAGTGATGGTTCAGCATCTAACTGTAAGCTATATAAAAGCTAAGTTACAAATTAAATTTAAAAAACAAAGTGTGTCAGTGTTCAGTAGAGCGGGAACTTCATGGGTGTTGGTTCTGTCTCCCGTTCACCTTTTAGAAATACTGTAATACTATGTATTTTTAGAAACATTCCCCCTATTTTTAGCTCGAGTGGCCTTTGTTACAATGTTGTTACTGGAAAAGGACCTGGCACAGAAGGAGAGGGAGTAGGACATGTAGGAATGGGCCATGAGCAGGACTTAAACCCTTAACCCTAACCCTTTCTGCATTAGCTCATGCTTACATGAGCTGCTCGCACACCACAAAAAAGAGACTTTGAAACTAAATAAGTATTACGTCGCCCAAGGGTTCTCATCAAAACTTCTGTGTTTTAGCTAAAGATTTAGTTGTGTGCCATCATGCTGATGAGGAGTTCAAACAGTCCACGCCCAGAAGAATCAAATTGGGAAATTGATGTTTTTTGCATCCCATCGACACAGAATATTCCTAATACTGACAATATTTCACAGGTGAAATAAGAGGGACATGCTCTTAAAGTTAAAAAATAAAAGAAATAAAGGCAGGGATCACAGTGGGACTGGAGGCCAATTGAACACAATATAACAGAGTAATAATTAAATGGTATATTTTGCTCTGGTACAGACGTAACTATACAGAGTAAACAGTAAATTGGTCAAACCCATGTTTCAGAACATTTGTTTTCATGGTAATATGGGTAAAGGTTTCCAAAAATTGCTAACTTATTTTAAGAAGCCGCAAAATGTTTCAAACATTTTTTTCCAGTTGCAAAAGTCGTCTAATGTAACTTGAGTTAATCTCAAAAAGGTTAGATTCGTCATTGAGATGCAGCACCACACTTTCTTGTAAATTAGATCACACCCATCAAGCTACTTTTGAATAGCATATCATCATGGATATGAGCCTTCCTTTCAATTTTAAAGTAGCTTGCCCTCACTCAATCAGTAGGAATTTAAAACATCTCTTTGTTGGAGATGCAGCAATCAGGATAATTGATAAGTGGCAGCTACAGGGGTAATCGTTATAACTGAATTTACAATCTTAGGCCCTTTTGCTGAAGTGGAAAGTGAGGCTGCTCTGGTCTCCACGGCGACTGAATTTGCAGAGGAGATGGAGAATTGGGTGTTTCATTTTCTGGTGGTGTGAGATAGTGCTCTCTGGGACTCCGAATGTCCTTGGGTTTCAGGCTTGCGTGTTTATGTGAGCACTGGTGGAAATGCAGCTCCGGTCTGAAGCACTCTCAGCTTTCAAGAGAAAACGATGGTCACATAAGATGATTTATTCTAAAAATGAACCCAATCATAGACTCGATAAATCATTTTTGTTCTCCAATCTTTTCCTGTTCTCATGTTTATCAGAAAACCATCACACACAGTTTCATTTCTGCTTCATGTGATTTATTCATTTTCCTACATTTTAAGACATGTTTGAAACACTTCTACTGTATTAGAGACAACTTGAACAATAATTGCACCAGAGGAAACCAAGAAAACATTTGCACTGTAATACATTTTTGTAAGAAAAGCCAGTTATACAACAAACAAGTATCTGAGAAGCCCAGAGACAATCACCATGGTTGTTTTTACATGAGATTTCATATTCACGTTGGACACACATGTATGCATGATGGATGGAAGCAATTGAAAATGTCCATTTAGATTCTAAGCAAAAACAATTGTGCTCGAGCTAAAAACAGGATACGTTTGGATGGTGCTGTTATTGTTATTTGTCTACTATGAGAGCACTGATTTGTGCTATCTATTTCATACCAACTGATAGCGTTGTGGTACACTCCTGAACTGATCAGTCTGGTGATTACCTGTACAACTGGAGCTATCATTACAGTTAACCTTAACCTATATATCAGCCCTAAAACTATTATACAAAATAGGGAGGGGAAAATAGTTATTTGCCTTGATCTCTCCTCTTAGATTAAGTCAAGCAGAGTGTTTCATCTAACGCATGAGACCAAAACCTTGCAATAACATAATCAAGTTAAGTAACCTAAGTTACTTTAACAGGGATTTTTTTTAGTTGACAGTAGAATAATCACAGAATATGAATTATACAAATCAGAAAATGATTACAGCACAGTAACAGAAATGACACAATATCTCAATGTGCTAATTTTTAGTCATTATCTCTAGTTTGTTTATCTAATAAAAGATTAAATGAAAAGATGGCAGATGGGGACATCAGTACCGGGCGTCTTCAGTGAGGTTGACACTTAAAACTGGCTGTCAAAGAGATTTGCTGTCTCTGCATTAAACTTAGAAATGATGAAAACCGGTTTAGAAACGCTTTTAGAAATGCTTTTGCAACGACATGCCTGACAGGAGGGCAAACTTTCAAAAGATGCAATATCCCAAACAGCAGAACAAAACAGACCAAATGATGGAGGCGTTACAGGCATTAGAACAGAGAGGGAAATTGATTCATAATGACACAGTTTGCGGCAGACTGTGTACAGGGCCAAATAGTAGACAGAAGGCAAACAGAGAGGGAACACCCTTTTACTGAGATTTATGTATATAGATAGACAGACAGACAGACAGACAAATAGACAGACAGACAGACAGACAGACAGACAGACAGATAGATAGATATTCATCAACCTTAAGGTATCTCCCTGCTCTGTTGTTTGACAGCCTGACTTAAATGTATTGGTTACAAATGTACCAGAATAGATATCAAAGTAAATCGTTGTTCAAATAAATTAGACGACAGAAAAAGTTAATTAAAGGACAGTGATAACATGAAAAACCAGTTAAATGAATACTTCAATGACAGTCCATGGGAAAATGTGTTCTCTCCTACATTGCTGGTCCCTTTAGAAACAATATAAAAAAGCATAACCTGTATGGTATAACTGATCCAGGTAACATGACTAATCAGTTTTCAGTAACAAATATAATGTATGGGCACAGCCACGCTGACAGATGTGAACGATGGAAGAGTAAACATGGTAAACAATCTCAGCACATAATTATTCATAATAGACATTTCATGCTATTTATCTTCAATTCCAGCATTTAACATTATCGTATCAAAGCTTTTTACAGAAAATGCCTGTCGTGATAATGGAACACAAAAATAACAGATAATATACTGCTTTTGTTTTCCCTGTCATTTACTTTTACCATTTAATTTCAAAAATTATTCCAGTAACGTATGATCAAGTTACCGTTGCTTATTAGTGACTCAAGCGTTGGGGTTTTTATCTTCTCTGATTAACTTTATTTTTAATCAGACTGAAGTCAGATTGCTTGACCATGCTCATTAGCTTTGGTTAGTTATGTATTTTTGTTTATGCAACCACATGGGCTAAACCATGAATCTGAATAAAAGGTCAACAGAACAGTAAGAAGTTTTGTAAATGTACTGAAGATATTTTCATTACAACCTCAAGATAAACGTATAGATCTGATACGATATGTTGACGACAGCCTTATTAACCCATAAGTGGATGTTATACTGAGTACATGATACATTTATCCGTTGCAGAGCCTTGCAATCTAGCGACTCTTCTAATCTTCATTTTAGGTTGGGTGACATTCAAAATAACAATGACTTCCGGAAAAAAGAAGAATGATATAAAACAATACAAAAAAAAGGATGATTTTTTTTATATTATTATATCAATTCAGTCTTGACGGGAACCATTTTTAATCACTTAAAATCAATCAGAGGCAAATAAATTCTAATAAATTCACAGTTCAGCAATGGAAAGGATTAAGCCATGTTACACAGACCCATGCATGTGAGTTTTGGCAATGCAAACATATCCCAAAATGTAATATAGAGTTACCTGAAACCACAATAAACACATGAGAGGTTATAACGACTTAGAAACACTTCAAAAGAAAGCAATATCTCTTTAAAGCACACAGTGAAGATTGATATTGTACTTTGAATGCCTATTCAAAAAAGCAGTCTCTAAAGATTGATGCTTTTTATCATTTAAGACTTGATAGTTTAAAAGAATAGCATCAAATGTTTGTGCCTAAAGGATGTTTAAAGTGTACATGGAAAATGGAGAAGTTGTTTCCAAGATTTTGTGTTGGACAGGTTTAGCTATGAATCAGTGACCTCATCAAAACAAGAGAGTGCAACATGTGTAAACATGTTGCAGCTGAATGTCATCATGTCAGGAGAACCTGGATAAACGCTGGACCACTCTGTAATCCTGTCGTGTTTTCTAAAAAAACAGAACTTCACACTTCTGTGATGTGGATGAAAGTCTTGGCGACAGGTTGCAATGGTAAAACGTTTGTTACAAGATCGTTTGGGAAACTTTTCGATGTCATTGCTCTTTTTTATTTGCCTACGGTGAAGCTAAAAAGGGTAAAAGAGAGCTACACCGGCTGTTGAATAAAGCTTCCAATCATCACAGCAATTAAGGCATCATTTGATGATCAGCATTGATCAGTTAAGTCCCGCTGCTTTGGCATAGTCGCTGAGTGATTGAAAGTGTTATTCCAATTTGAAATGGAAAAAGAGTTTTCTTTTTTTTTTAACAAATGAACCGGCTAATGGTTTACTCTACATATATATATTAAAAAAAAAGTTTTCGCTACCATGCGGCTTCTCTGTCTAAGATCTGATCAAATTTTAGCACATCTGTGCCATTCTAATTTGCAAACCTATCCCTGTACATGCAGTCCTGAAATACATTGAATTTGAAAAATAACATAAGCATATGCTCTGGAAAGACAATGCTTTCTCAGAGCAAAGCATCTGAGATTATATAGGCTTCGCTTTACATTCACAAAGTCATTTGAACAAAATATGCCGACATCCTGCTGTGCACAGTCAAGACAGGATTCACTGTCTCCATTCCAGCCTCTGCGGGGAAGTCGACAGTAATTTTCCAAATATGGATCCAAAAAAGTAATCCAATTCCAAGTGCTGACATCTAGTTTTTTTGTTTTTTCATAAACTTGTTAAACCACATGCAATGAGCGTGAAGACAAGATATCAACATCCAGAGATGGAAAAAAGCACCATGAATACAGACACCATGATAATTTTCACTGTGACTTTAGCCAGATTTGCTCATATGCAAAAGCCTTATAATATCTACAAATTCGCATTTCTTGACATTGACATTTGTTCTTTCTTGACAGTCACTCTCCACAGGACCAACACCACATACAACCAGCCCATAGAAATCCCAACAGCATTGTGCTGCTGTTCTTCCCTCTTTGTTCCATCTAAAGCACGTTGGCAAAGCTAGGTAGTGTTGCAAGTTCAAAACCTTTGTGATGAGCACTTTTAATCCAAGTTTGAATCTACGTCCTTAATTCTAATTTTAGAAATGTACACTTTCCTCAGAGATATCTCAATCATCATCCAGCTGGTGGTGGGTATAGCTTGTGTGGTTTTGATCTGTACAGTCCATCTGTTTTGGTTTAGATAAAAAATAAAGTTGCTGTGAAGCTGATGTGGGTCCATCTTCTCATAAAAAGTCTCATCTGCTAGAAAACGGAATGGTGTTTAAGTTTTTCATGAAGAACTCATCTTCTCTATAATGAAAGAGTAACACTGGTAAATCGTTTGTCTTAACAATATGTCCCAAAAAATTAGCATTTTGAAAATGTTGAAGCTTTTCCTCCAAAGATTTCTCAAAACTCTGTGGTTGTAATCAGAGTAGTCTCCGACTGCGGATCTCGATGAATTCTGTTCGAGCGAGAGCTGCTAGGGACTCTATCCATGCCTAGTCATGCGGGCTGCTTGCCTGTTTCTGGTGGGGCGCAGACTGACACGGGTTCCCTGGTGGTGTTGCGACCGCTGATTTGACTCCTTTGGTCCATGCGGGTCTGACAGGGAAGGCAGAAGTCTTTGAAGCATCTCTTGATATTTTCATCCAGAAAAGCATAGAGGACCGGGTTTAGGCTGCTGTTGGTGTAGCCCAAGGCAATGCACAGGTGCCAGCTCGCAATCACAAAGGGATTCCTGGTGTCAATATCCACCATGGTCCTCACAATGATGAAGATGTGTATGGGGGTCCAGCATATGATGAAGGCTGCCACCACCACCAGGACCATGCGGGTGATACGACGCATGTTGCGGTCTTTCTCCTTGGAGCCCGAGAGCAGACGGACACTCCTCAGGCGCTGAATCATCAGGCCATAACATATGGTGATGACCATAACAGGGACCACGAACGCAAAAATGAAAACGCAGATCTTTGTGACGGTGTCCCAGTACCAGTCGGGATGAGGAAACCTCAGCGTGCAGGTTGTTTTACCTGGAAGAGTTGGGAGGTTAATTTAGAAAAAATAGTTAAAGACGGATTTAATGTACGACTTGCTATACTGTTGCCATTATTGTCTAAAGTCTTCTAGACTGTATATTTTGAAAATTATGTATTGCTTGAACCCAGTTGGTATCTTAGCTAATGACTTCAACATCAGATGTAAAGACATCTTCATTGCAATGCAACTTACACAAAGTTTTCAACAGCTCTTCACCCTGCCTACTGTTTAGATTTTAGATTTTTAGACAAGTTCAGACATTCATCCAGAATGTATGAGGTGGACGTTTGGCCACAGAAAGGAACTTGCCATCCACGCAGAGAGATTAGCTGATCTATAATATCCCCAAAAAAGTCTGTCTATTTTGGGGCTTGGACTGTTAAATTAACTTGCTCAACCCTTTTTGACGTGAATTTAAAAAGAGGAGCGTTGGGAACGCATTACTATTGCATTCTTACTCATGTCACTACATTTTATGGGCCTTGATCCTGGGCAATGAATATATTCACACAATTTCATACCTGGATCATGGCAATAAAGTGGATGATGATTGCTCTTGGCTCTTGACAGGCGCTTCTAAACCAATCACGGCCTTTAAATTAAGACCACTCACTTTCAACAGAAACCAGCTAACAAGGACAGAATGGAGAAAGGGGAAATTTTCTTTTCTTTCAAAACTCTTTCTGATAGCCGGCTGGATAAAAATAAAGTAATTTTGTAACTAATGCCCAGCAGTAAAAAAAATTATTTAAAATTGTAAGATAGACTTTGACTGTGGGACTCTGAAAGATTAACTTGACTATTTTCTAAACTTTTTTTTAGGTCAAACAATATATGTGTTTGGGGACACTTCTTGTTGTATGACCCACTTCCTGTTGAAAATTGGTTAACAGTCAGATGTTAATGATTTTTTTCTATAGAATCAGTTGATACATTTCAGAAATGATTACTTTTTGCCCAAATGCCCATTTTAAGAAGCTAACATTGCCTTGTTTTACTGTTATACGCGTCATTCTAAACTCTAGTGGATACTGAACAACACAGATTGCTCCTCAAGTGCTTATGGAGGACAGACAATGATCGTACAACAACAGTAAGACTTCAAATAACACTAGATAAAGCAGAAGAAAGCAATCTTACCACTATCTGTCACTTTGGTCACAGCCATGACCATAATTGGAACTCCAATTGCAGAAGACAAGGCCCAGATTAGGATGTTGATTATCTTCGCGTTTAGTGGCGTCCGAAATCCCAGCGCCTTGACCGGATGGCACACGGCAATGTAGCGGTCCACACTCATCATAGTGAGGGTGAAGATACTTGTGAACATATTGTAGTAGTCAATGGCGAGGATGAGCTTGCACAGAACCTCCCCAAAAGGCCAGTTGTTCATGAGGTATTTGGCACTCTGGAAAGGAAGCGTGCTCGTGGCCAGGGCATCGGCAAGAGCCAAGTTAAAGATGTAGATGTTTGTAGCTGTCTTCATCTTGGTGTATCTAGGTGTGATAGAAAAATATAGAAGAGATGTAGCTAAGGTTAGAACTGAACAAAAAGTCAAACAAAAGCAGCAATGACTGGAGTGCTGTATGGAATTAGGTAAAATTGTACCGAAAACTGGGATATGGTGGACAGGAATACACTATTTCATAATGAAATATATTTGTGTTGCTCATAGCTGCCTGGTATATTCAGAATTTGTTTGAAAGCTTGTGTACTGGAGAAAAATGTTATATCACTTCTCTTGAGCAAATTATCCCTTTTTTGTGTATTCTTGCCTTTTCAAAGGCTACTATGAGATACCATATTTCATCATATTTCAAGGCTTCATAAACCGAGACTCACACATCCTATTTTACCTGGGCATGTTGGGTCTATCCTTCCTGAATTATGCATAACATGTTTTTGGTTATTCCATGTGGTGAATAGTTTCCTCGAAAATAAGGTGCAAGCTTAAGTATTTGTGAGTGCTGTGTTCAGGAGACCACCAGTTTTTTCTTATCTACCTCTTTGTAGAAAGGGTTGGCGGACTTTCCCTCAGTGCACACTTACTTGGGTTTTTCTCTGGGACCTGTGCCTATAAATACTGTGCTTGAGGCTAAATCGATCTTCTCTAATCATTTTGTCTCACTCATTTTTAAAGAATTTCCATCACACTTGTTTGTGTACATAACTAATGATAAAAGTTAGGTAACAGCGCCCGAAACGCAGTTGACAGTAAGTAGCAGGACGTAGCATAGCGACAAACCTGACTGGATATAAAATCATAGAGATGGCCATGTTTTAATATTCAGTTTTTGTTATTGGCCTTAGGGTCAGGGACTTCATTAATCATTTTAAATCCTATTTTAATGATTTTGAGTAGAAAATTATTCTTTATTCATACTATAAGTGTAAAGCTTTTATTCTTAATACAATATTTTCCCTAGTACAATATGGATCTATCATTCAAAAACGTATCAACACAGGAAGGTGTATTCGCAGTAAGTTGCACAGTCAGAGATTGTCAGCCATCTACACAAACCAAGTTTGATGTACAACAGACAGATGAAATTCACACACAACATCCATAAAAGGAATGTGGAAAAAATTAAAGATGATTACATGATAACTTTTACTTAAAACACAGTTTGTCCAATGGTTTTGGTAATTAATAATAATAATAAT